TGCCGAAACGTTGCTACAACTTTAAAAGCACAACTATAATGACGTGGAAAAATACCCGAACAAAGCTGAATACCATACATGTAAGTACCCGCAAAAACTTAAGAAAACATATATATATGCAACCACCACCAAAATCAGAGTGGCAGAAGGAAACTGTGATGTTCTCTTGCTCAAGGATTCCAAGAACAATCTGTTCAGCTGATGAGAAAATGACGGGTCACGTTGCTTACTGTAACTAGGATTCTAGATGCTTTATTAGTAAAAAAAAATTCTCCTTCTGGGATTCCTAACCCTGCCAGAAGACCCTCGGTAATGACCGTAAAACTCTGTTTTTAAAAAGTTTCCTGTGATTTTAAAATGGGACCACCTCTCTTACCACTGATTTCCAGGATGTATTCAGGCCCCAAACGGGTTCCCAGATTGCTGCTTCTCTTGTGGGTAAATAATAGGGCTTCTGGTCACCCCAAAAATCAAGGACAAGCTAAGGGGTGAGAGCTCAGGAGCTCTTGGATCGGGTGGTAAAGGAAGCTTCCTAGCAAAGAGTTTTGGGGCTGGCCAGGGGTCCATTTGGGTGACCGTGTCATTTTATTTTTATTTATTTTATTTCGTCAAGCGATGATTAGATAACAGGTATAAGTATAAACATGGTTATGAATACATGAAATGGATATGAATAACAAAAAAAAAGGAACAATAGGACAGGGACAGTAGGCACATTGGTGCGCTTATGCACACCCCCTACACACCTCTTAGGAAAGGGGTGAGGTCAATAGTAGACAGTCTAAGGTTAAAGTTTTTGGAAAAGAAAAAAGAAAGAGGGAAGGATAGAGGGAGGAAGAATGAAAGAAAGGGAGAGAGAGAGAGAGAGAAAGAAAGAGGGAGGGAGGAAGAAATAAAGAAAAGAGAGAAAGAAAGAGAAGGGAGGGAGGGAGAAAGAGAAAGAAAGAAGAGAAAGAGAGAGAGAGAGAGAAAGAAAGAAAGAAAGAGGGAAGGATAGAGGGAGGGAGGAAGAATGAAAGAAAGGGAGAGAGAGAGAGAAAGAAAGAGGGAGAGACGGAGGAAGAAAAAAAGAAAAGAAAGAAAGAAAGAGAAGGGAGGGAGAAAGAGAAAGAAAGAAGAGAAAGAGGAAGGGAGGGAGGAAAAGAGAGAGAGAGAGAAAGAAAGAGGGAAGGATAGAGGGACAGAGGGAGGAAGAATGAAAGAAAGGGGGAGAGAGAGAGAGAGAGAGAGAAAGAGAGAGAAAGAAAGAAAGAAAGAAAGAAAGAAAGAAAGAAAGAAAGAAAGAGGGAGGGAGGGAGGGAGGACGAAAGAAAGAAAACAAATAAAGAGAAGGGAGGAAGGAAGGGAAAGAAAGAAAGATGCTTTCTACACTCTTCTCACAGCTTCCTCCTTTTTACATCCCACGCTTGGAACAATTTCTTCAGAACCATCAGCAGAACAAGGAGTCTGGAATGAGTGTGCTTGAGCAATCACTCCAGCGCAGCACCTCTGGTTGCTCCTTAAAGCAGACACGTCCGTTTTTCTTCCAGGAGTCCCTGCAGCCAAGAGATGCCACGCAGGGGCCGATTCTAAAGCTCCTCGTCTGAATCATTTCTGAAGGCTGCGCAGCTCTAAAGGCGCGTCTGCTTTGGAATCCCACTTCCTGCCTTTCGCAGCCCATTCCCTGCAGCCAAACCCAGCACTGCTCCAAAGCAAACGGTGTGATACCCTGGCTTACTCTTGAAATCCAGTTTATGGCAGATTTGACAATACCGGCAATCTCAATCCCCAGAAAGATCTTTGCTAGTGCAACAGACCAGAAGCATCGGTTCCCTTCAGGAAGAGCTTCCGATGGGTTGGACCCACCAGCCCTGTTCGTACCTGGCCCACAAAGAGAGAGACCAGGCTCAGAAAAAGCTACCCACAGCCAGCATCGTCCATATGGAATAGAATAGAATAGAATAGAATAGAATAGAATAGAATAGAATAGAATAGAATAGAATAGAATAGAATAGAATAGAATAGTTCAAGGCAAGGCGGCTTACTCAGCCAAAGGGCATTTTCTGGAATATTTTTTTTTTCTCGTTTAACATTTTTATTGGGCTATAGAATAAAATAAGATATAAAATATGAAAGTAAATAGGAAAATGGTGGAAAGGAAGAGGGGGAAGAGAAGTGAGGGAGGATAAGAGAAAAAGAAATAATAACTTCCAACTCTCTCTATTGCAGTAGAATAAGGCATTAACATCAAATCACAACTTTTTGTTTTTTTACTAATAATATCAACAGACCATTTCTATAAGGATCTATCAATCTAATCGGTAAAACCCAAAATCAAGGTTTCATTTTTTCTGCACAAAGTTCAGAAGCTTTTGTCTTCATGAAGAAACAAAAATAATATTCTTTTTTTTAATTAAAATAGTCAATTTTGCCATTTCAGCCAACTCCATTAACTTTGCAACCATTCTTCCATGGTAGATATAGAAGTGTCCTCCCATTTTTGCACATACCATAATCCTGCTGCTGTGAACATATAGAATAACAAAGTTCCACATTTTTTTCTCCAGGTTTTTTTTCCCATTAGACCCAAAAGGAAGATTTTATCCATGGAATATTTATGTTTTGATGATGTTAATGTTTCCATGGTATAAGCCGCCCAGAGTCACTTCAAAATGAGAACATAGGCAGCAAATATATTTAATAATAATAAATAAATTTCAATCAAATCAAATATCAATCAATAATACATTCCTTGCTCTCAAGACAGAGGTGATCCTTGGGGGCAGCCCACCCAGATCTTCTCCTGCTCCCACTTCTTCTGATGCAGCTGGCAGGAGCACTGGGGTCTCGGGGGCTTCAGCTTCTGCCCCAAACGAAGCCGTCTAGGGCCACTTACCCGGAAATCGATCCCCACGGTCGAGATGAAGCTCCCAGCCAAGAAAGCGCCGTCCTTGAAGCGCACCAGCAAGCAGGTCTTGCCAACTCCAGAGTCACCAACTAGCATCACCTGGAGGAAGAGGAGGAGAAGAGGTGAGAAGGGATGGCAGTGGCCTCTCTGGACTCCTTGGACAAGGGGAGAGGTGAGATGGGAAAGGATCCTGCTCTGCCTTCAAGGGAGACTCTCCTCAGCTGCCCAGCCAGTGGCCTCAGACACAGGGGTGGGCTTCAAAAAATTTTGCAAGATGTTCTCTGCCCGGTTTCTGGGTGGGCATGGCCCAGTCAGCCTCCTGCACCATGGTGGGGCATGCAGAGGCTTTCTGTTGTGGTTGGCCAGCAGGTGAGGACGGCTGAGGTCTCGGAGAACAAGGACTCAGGTGAGGGGCCTGCGTGTGATGCAGGGATGGGGCCAGGACCATCAGGGAGTGGAATGCTGCCTTCAGAGATGGTGGAGGCTGGCAGCAGTGAGGAAGAGGATCCCGAGGAGCCTGTGCCCAGTGCGCGTGCACGCAGGGCTGCGCAAAGGAAAGAGCAGCTGCAGCAGCACGGGCAGTAAGGCTTCAAGGTAATGGCCCCTCCCTGAGGAGATAAAAGCCAGCTGAGAAACCGGAGTTCTTTGCAGAAGCTGACTTAAAGCCACTCTGCTCCCTAGCAGCCAAGGTTCTTCTCTCAACCGATTTGACAGACCGGTTTATTCTGACAACTCTGGTGAGTTGGGATAATAAGCCCCACAAATTCTCCCTGGAAGCCCAAAGGTGATAATTGAAGCAGCTCCCAACCAGCTGCTACCCAAACTGGAGCCGTCTGCCTCAAGACCTGTAACGGGTTGAGCCTGAGACAAGCTGGGTTAAATCCATATTCACTGCAAAGGGGAGAGAGAAAAGAACAGCAGCTGCCCGAAGTCGTCTTCGTCCATTTTAAAAAGAGCTCTCTTTTCTCAGGTGACAAGTCAGGGGGGCACCGTAGTTTCTGGAGGACCAAAAGCCACACCATGCAGGCTCTGAAGGAAGTCTACGCTGTATCGTGGTTAGGTTTCAACCCCACCTTTTCACGGACCCCCCCCCCCCCGGCTTTCTTCCCACAACAAGACTGCTGGCTGCGGGTACACTGGAGCCCCAAAGTCCCCACACTTCATGTACCTTTGCACCTCCAAAGCTGCAGAGAGAGAACCGTTCCCCAGGAACAAAGACAAAGCGTGACATGTTAGATCTTGGTAACTTCGGGGGGCGGGGGGGGGGGGGGGGGGGGGGGGGGGCTGGCAGGCCCATCTTATTTTGCTGCAGCAAAAGTGCCAAGCGCGTCATTGCACCGTTTACTCTCCCTCTCCATGAATACGGTTCACACCACAACTCCACGCATAGAATCCTTCCTGGTTTAGAGTTTAGGGCAGAGACAACTAACAACTGAAAATAAACAAAACAGACGTGGTGAGCTGTACTCCATTATTATTAGGAACACAGAGATAATCCAAACCATGGTTTCTTTGATTTGGCTTAGCCTGATGTCCATTCTTCAGGAAAGACTGGTTAAAACAAGCCAGGGCTTACTATGATGTATAAATCCAGTCAGTGTTGGGGTTTTCTCTGACTAAGGCCATCCCCAGGCTGGGGAGGATGGGCTTGTGGGGTTACTCATCTGCAGGTTGCGGGGAGCTTGGCTGGGAGGTTCACTCCCTCCCAATTGGCCTCCTTCAGGACTACCCAGCCTTGCCCTGATCCCCAACCATAATCTCCCCACAGCCCACAAAGGAAACAAACAGGAGGCTGGAACTTCCAGTAAGCCAGGATCCGAAGCTGCAGGATGTGGATCTAGGACAACTTGCCACGGTCAACTCAGCATGGGACAGTTCCATGCAGGATAATTTGACGTAATAAATGTTATCCACCTCTGTTTCTTTTTTTTTTCATTTTTGCCAATGGAAATAATGTCAAAGAAATAGTGGCAGATAATATTTACCACAATGAGTTATCCTGAGTGGAATTGTACCACCACGCGTTGTCTCATTCCAACAGGATGGCCTTCAAAGGTGATTGGAAAATGTGGTCCATTCCAGCAAAAGTAGGGATGGAGTGGAGTGGAGTGGAGTGGTGGGATGGGATGGGATGGGGTGGGGTGGGGTGGGGTGGAGTGGAGTGGAATGGACTGGAGTGGACTGGACTGGACTGGACTGGACTAGACTAGACTAGACTAGAATATTGGAATGGACTGGACTAGACTAGACTAGACTAGACTAGAATAGAATAGAATAGAATAGAACAGAATATTGGACTGGACTGGACTGGACTGGACTGGACTGGACTAGACTAGACTAGACTAGACTAGACTAGACTAGACTAGATTAGAATATTGGAATGGAATGGAATGGACTAGATTAGACTAGACTAGACTAGACTAGACTAGACTAGACTAGACTAGACTAGAATAGAATAGAATAGAATAGAATAGAATAGAATAGAATAGAATAGAATAGAATAGAAGAATGGCATGGCTCAGCACAGAACAGAATAGAATAGAATGAGTTGGAAGGGACCTTGGAGGTCTTCTAGTCCAACCTCCCACTTAAGCAGGAAACCCTACAACCATTAAAACCTTCCAATGTTGGAGCATGTGCAACTTCTGGAGGCCAGTTGTTTCCACGGGTTAATTGATCTCACTGTCAGGAAATCTCTCCTTAGTTCTAAGTTGGTTCCCTCCTTGATGAGTTCCCACCCACTGTTTCTTCTCCTGCCTCCTGGTGCTTTGGAGAAGAGCTTGGCTCCCTCTTCCTCATAGCAGCCCCTGAGATATTTCCAGCCTTTCTATTCCTCTCCACCTTTGGGGCGGGGAAGGCAGAACTTCCAGCTATGCAATTCGGGATGAACACTGTTCGAATGGGGTGGGCGTAGGAGTGGATTTCCAGAGGAAAAACTGCAGACCACAGGGACCATTTGCACCACTCAGGTGACCCTGAGGACACAGATAAACCTCCAAGTGGCCTCTAAAAGGATACAAATGACCAGCTATCTTCAAGGAATACACAGCCTTCCATTCCCCACCCTCCTGCCAGAGCTGAAGAAGCTTCTTGGATGAAAAGCAAAACGTCTTCAAAAGAAAAGAAAAAACAAGAAAGTTCAGTTGCCTCCTGAAAAAAGCCCCTTTGGGACAATCGAGGACCTGGAGGACGGAGAATCTCAGCAGCTGTCAACACCTGTCCTTCCTCCTCACCACCACCGCCCTCACAGGCGATGAAGCTTCTTGGATGAGAAGCAAAACATTTTCCTCTTCTTCTTCTTCTTCCTCAAGGAAAAAATGATCCAGTGGCCTTTTTTTGGAAAAAGCACCTGAGCGCTACAGGTGAACCCATATCAACGAAGTGAAACCTCTCACCCTCTTCTTCCATCTGTGCCTGGTTCTCAAAGACCCGGGCAAGACCCTGCAGGCAAGATTTCTGGCAAGGTTTTTCTGCAGCGGTTTGCCATTGCCTCCGTCCCGGGGCTGAGAGAAAGGGTCACCCACCTCGCTAAGGTGGGATTAGAATTCGGGAGCCTCCCAGTTCCTAGCCTGATGCCTTCACCGCTACACTCACAACAAGGAGAGCCATAGATGGCCAACCAGGCAGTTAGCCGAGTCAAACACCTTGTAGGTAATATGAGTTACCGGATCATAAAGCCCAGGCAAATTTTACCTTTCCTGCAGAATCTGATCAAGAAAACACGATTCACACACATTTTCTCGACAGAATGTAATGCTAAGAATCAGAATAGCAAATGTGGAAGACTGAGATAGGACCCTTCCAAGCCTCTTTTTCTAGAGAGTTCATTAAGTGAGCTTATGGGGGGTGTTTTGGGGGGGGTGTCTTTATTTATCAGAATGTTTGCAGACAAGTCTGTGTGTTAGATAAAGCTGGATCAAGGTCTCCTATCTGCTAATTGTTTGTGTTCCCCTTCCTTTCTCACCCTCAGCACCACCGCCCCTCTCTCTTGCACATGGATAGTGCAAAGCAGCCCATGTGACCCGTCTCTGGTTCTGTGTGCCGTGAGAACCAAGGCTGCACCGAGTAAATTCCCACAGGAGTCACCATGAAACCTGTTGTATAAATGCCATCAGTATTGGGTGCAGTAGGATTCAACCGGGGCTCCCTTCCCCGGAGCAAGGGGCAAACCCAGACTGTCCCACCGGCAGAGCCGAAGAAAACTTCCCTGGTTGGTCGGGTTGCTCTTTGACCCACAGACCGGCATCGGGAAAGGTGCCATGTTTTTCCCTCAAAGGATCCGGGGCTGGGCAAACCCAACCGGGTGGGAAAAGACCACCCGATCTAAGGATGTGCAAGGGGGGGCAAGTGCGCCGGAGGGCGGAACTGGCAGCGCCAGAGGTGGGGGTGGCTGGGAAAGGGAGCGCTGGAGAAGTAGCTCACACCGGGCGAAGAGCTTCCAGCTACAGGCGCCGTCTACCTCCAGCCGCAACTGTGCCCTAAACCCCTGCAAGCAGCCCCTGCTCGCGGCTGCTAGTTCGGTTCGCAGGCGGCGGCGGCGGCGGCGGGGAGGCGCAGCGCGGGATGCCCCGGAGCTCCGGCACTTTCGGAAGCGGCTCGGGACCTTCGCCGGGGAAGCCCGCGCGAGGCTCCGCCTGGCAAGCAAGCCCGGCGCCTGCTTCCGAGCGCCGCACCTTCGCTCCGCCAGCGGCAGACGCGCCTGTTGCGAGGCCGTCCAGCCCGGCCGGGGAAGGCGGGCGCCCTTCGCGCCGGCCAAGCCTCCCCCAGGTTCGGTCGCGCCAGCCGTCTGCCCGCCGGCCCGTCCGTCGAGCGGAGGGCGGGGCGGGCGCCGGAGGAGCCCCGCTGCCCCGGCCAAGTCGCGCCCGCCGCTCACCTTGAAGGCGACGTCGTGGAACTCGCCGCTGCTGCTGAGCGAGGGCCGGCTGGGCAGCGCCCCTCCGTTGGCCGCCCTCTCCTCGGCCGCGCCCGCGCCCCGGCCCGGCCCGGCCGACGAAGAGGCAGCGGCGGCGGCGGCGGCGGCGGCGGCGCGTTGCTGGGCGGCGGGCAGGGCGGAGGAGGGCGCGGCGCTGCCGCCCTTGCCCTTGGGGCTCTTCTTGCGGGACATGCTGGCGCTGCTTCAGGGCGTCCCGGCCGCCGGCTCCGCGCTCAGCCCGGCTCCCAGCGCCGCCGGCATCCCGTCCGGTGCCCGTCCTCGGCAGCGCGGTCCGTGCGCCCGCCCCGCCGCCGCCGCCGCTCCTCCCCGCCTCTCAGCCGCTGGGAGCGCCCGAGCCGCGGCCACGCTGCCGGAGAGGGCGGGGGAGAGGCGGCGGGCTCCCCGCCGGCCCGGCCCCCGCGTGAGCGCCCCGGCCGGACGCGACCGCTCTGGCCCCGCAACCCACGCCGGGAGGGAGGTCTCCGACCGCGGCGGGGCGAGCGGGGAGCCGCCGGGAGGCAGTGCAGCTCCCTCCCCTGCCGAGCGCAGACCGGGGCTGGAGCGTTTACGGGAAGCCGCTTCCCCCGAAAGTTTCCTCGGACGCGCGTCCCGGATAGTCGAGGCCGCGTTCGCACAACCGCTCTCCGGGTTCACTTCGGCTCCGGCCTGAACACCACATCGGCGCTGTGCGTGGAAAGCAGGTCTGCAAAATACACGCATTGCACAAAAGTACCATCGAGTGGCCCTCTCGGACGACTCGTATTTTTTTTTTATTTCTTTTTTAATCTTTATTGATCACACTTTCATAATGAAAACATATTTCCACTCACGGTGTTCACTTACACTGACATCTTCCTAAATATGTAAGTTATTGCTAAATATTGTTAATTATTTCTCCATTCAATTCAAGGCATATATTCATATATTTACATAATTATTTACATATGCACAGTATTATTTCATCTTACCATAACTCCTTCCTTTCCTCCATTTATCTACTTTGCAGCCTACCTTCTAACCAGTTATAGAATAGGTTCCAAGTCTCGTGGTACTCTGTTTCTTCTTTCTCTTTCATTTCCATCGTAACCGATTTCTTGATGACCCACAATTGTCTGGCCTCACCCAACAGGCTAAATTAAAGCCAGCCAGCATGATGACAGGGTTCACACAACCCAAGTGCCATGAGTGAATCCTGAGGGTTTCACCATTTCCCACCCCCTTAATGAACCACCCCATAGTTTACAATGATGTGTGAACCCAACCGATAGTTACTTTGACACACTGTCCCAAAGCATGGTCTGTTTAACCATGGTTTGTTGAGTAAGCTTGGTTTACTGGGTCCCCATATTGGCTTCATGTACAACAGGTGCTTCCTGACATATAAACTAACCCATTATTTGTTTGTGCGATCGAGCATTGCCAAGTAAACAATGGCATGGCCGGCAGCGAAGCCCAGCTGCGAGTCTATACCGCTAAACGTGCTGGTTTTTCCCTTGACTGCTCTTAGTAACCAAGCCACATGCAAGATCTAGCAGGATCCTGCCCAGATCTTAAGCAAGGCTCCCGTGCTCATCTGTGCCACAAAGTGCTCTTAAAAGCAATCCAAAGCAAAACATTGGCACTTTCGAAGAAGTGACACAAATGCAACAATCTGCAGCCTTTGGGGAGTCTCAGAAAAATCAAGATGGCTGAAGAAGCCCAAACATTTTGTATCCGTGGTGACAAGGTGGGGTTGCAGTCTCTGCTTTGACCTTTGACACCCTCTGTTTGCACCCCAAGGAGCATCCACGCCACTTCCCGGGTGTGCTTATCACACAGCCCTTGTGCCCTTCTCCCTCTCATCAAGAATGGGCAACGTATGCAAAACCTGCCTCTGGAGCAAGGAGGCACCACTGACAACACATTAACACGCTGCCTTATCCACACACTCTATTTGGGATGCAGCAGGCCTTCCTGCGGTGTTTGGGCGACGTCTGGACAAAGACTCAAAGGGGAAGACAGCTAAGCTGAAACATCACGACAGAGTAGGATTTCTATCTGCATAAATACACATGAAATGTTACTCCCATAAGCATGTGTTCGTTTTATGGGTGTGCAAATTATGTTATCTTAGGGTTGGGGTGTGCAAATAAATTAGGGGCATCCAAAGCTAAGCCACTATCATTGTTGAACTATTTTTTTTGTAGAATTTCAGTAGTGAGGAATACAGTATTTGTAGCTTATAAAGAGTTGGGATCTTAATGTTCCCTGCACTGGGTTGTTTTCTGGCAGAAGTTTTGTTACAGGGAAAGTATGCAAAGAAGAGCAGAGTTCCCAGGTAGTTTAGAGGGAGCCTCTTGTCCTCCCAATCTTGGTTGGGATACATTTTGAACACTTCTTGGTTCTTTGATTAGGGTGCCCTGGTGTTGCTTCCTGTCTCTCTGGGTGTTGGTTGCCAGGGGAACACAGCAGATACCCACGCAACTTCATAAAAGTACCTAGGTACACAACCTATCGCGACACAACCTGGGAGTTGGTTAACTATCCCATACATGAAAGATGCTTCTGAGACAATCTACAGATTATGATATCCTCTCAACATCACTCTAACACAGACCAGCAAAACCCCATCAAATGCTTTTAAAATTACCCAAAGAAATAACAATAGCACTTAGACTTCTATACCACTTCCCAGTGCGTTTACAGCCCTCTCTAAGTAGTTTACTTGCCCCCAACAATCTGGGTCCTCATTTTACCCACCTTGGAAGGATGGAAAGCTGAGTCAACCTTCAGCCAGTCAGGATCGACCTGCAGGCAGCTGGCAGTCAGCAGAAATAGCCTGCAGTACTGCATTCTAACCACTGTGCCACCACGTCTCACAGAAATAATAATCAGAGACATCAGCACATATAGGGCAAGGACTGTAAGAGCTCCTTCATCTTTTTGCAGGTAGATAAATTCAACAATTTCCACTGGGAAAGAGTTGGCATTTAGGGAGAAGCCAATTCCAAAAATATTAAGTAATTCCAACAAGCCTGGCATTCTAACAAATCCATCCATACACATAGAGATAAGTCCCACTGACAGTCCATTTAAAAGATACAATCAAAAGTCTAGGAAGGAAACAAACAGCCTAAATTAATAAAACACATCCTTCCCAGCAGCCACACCCAGAGAAGCAGGAAACGGCACAGATAAACAATCAGGAGGAAAAATGGCGTAAGGGCCATCAAGGAAGATAGCCCACCCCAACCAAGATTGGCAGGGCAAGCTACAAGCAGCAAACTCCATTCTCTCATGCACAGAGGATACTGTCTAGCATGGTAGCAACATTTCTGCTGGAAAATAACCCAGCTCGGAGAACATCAACAACATTTTAGAGCCTTTTACAATCCCAGCTAGTGCTGACTTAACAAATTATTGCTAAAAAGAATTGCTTAAATCTTAGAAGTTCTGCAAAAATTCAGGACACTCATTTCACATGCTTAAGAACATTCAGAAGCAGGTGAAGAAGGCTAAACAAGGAGCATCTGGCAGAGTGGCTAGAATTAAACATAAAAGGGATGTTGAAAGTAAATGGAGGAAATAGAGGAAGGATTGTCATGCCCGCGTCAGAGTCTGAATCTGAGGAGGAAGATGAACAGCCAACAGGGAGTAGGAGTGTGGCTCCGTTGGCTCTGGAAGAAACTGGGGAAGGGCAAAGTCCGGCTGGGCAGAGCAGGGGAGAGGGAGAACAAGGGAGAGGGGGTTCAGAGGAAGACCCAGGTCTACCCCCTCTTCATCCTTGGGCATGCAGGGAGGAACGGAGAAGGGAGCAACATTGGTTGTGTGGCTTACAGGGGAGGAAAGGGCCCTGATTCCCTTCATTAGCCACAGCTGGGAAGAGAGTTTAAAAGAGATGCGTGCTGATTGCGGCAGCTGCTGGGAACAAATGTGACTTTACCTTGTGTTGTCTCTGCTTATCTGTGTTCCTGGCGTCTTTCCAACCGGGTGAGTTTTGCCATCTGGAATTCTTGCTCCTGCTTAGCCGGAATAATTACCTCATCTTGCATTGATTGAAGTTATAGTTACAGTTTTTGTTGACCACGTTTTGGACTTGATTTCTGCAGCCAAAGGCTGTTCCTGGGAGAGCTTTTCTCCAGCCTGGAAGGTAACCAGGACATTGGAGGCAAAATTGGAGCTAATAAGGGACTCCTACTGATTACTTGACTGTGTTGCCTTTGTGCCCTGGGTCATCACAAGCAGTATTTTAGAGAGCTGTATGAGATTAATACAGGTAGTCCTCAACAGATGACCACAATTGAGCCCAAACTTTCTGTAGCTAAGTGAGAGATTTGTTAAGTGAATTTTGCACCATTTTGCGACCTTTCGTGCCACAGTTGCTAAGTGAATCACTGCAGTTGTCAAGTTAGTAACATGGTTGTTAAGTGAATCTGGATTCCTCATGGACTTTACTTGTGAGAAGGTCACAAAAGGGGATCCCTTGACCCCGGGATACACAGCGACTCTCACAAATGTGAATCAGTTGCCAAGCATCTGAATTTGACCATGGGGGAATGTGACCATGGGGGAATGCTGCAACGGTCATAAGTGTGAAAAATGGCCGTAATTTTTTTCAGTGCCGTTGTAACATTAAACGTAGCAAACCACATATGGCTTTGTATCAGGCAAGGGCTATGCAGACCATTGAGAATTATATGAATGTGAGAAAGTTTACAAATATTGCGGATTTCCAAAAGGATGATCAAGTGAAAAAAGCTTAGATTATGGAATTTGTGTGCAACTATGTATGTAGCAGGAGGCTAGTTGCTGAATGACATAGTTCCGCACCTCTGTGCTAGAAGGATCTGTAGTTGCCACGGATGGTTTGCAAGCTATGGGTGGTATGAAGACCTAGCCAATGGCGTAAACTAGTTTTCATACCTATTTCCTTTTCTTCTCTCCATCTCATCCCTGTAATGTCATTGGCTTAATATTTATTTATTTTATTTATGTATTTATTTGATTTGTCAATCACTTACAAGATAACAGGTATAAGTATAAACATAGTTATGAATACATGAAATGGATACGTATAAGAAAAATAAAAACAAAGAAACAATAGGACAGGGACGGTAGGCACGATTGGTGTGCTTACGCTACAGGCCTCTTAGGAAAGGGGTGAGGTCAATAGTAGACAGTCCAAGGTTAAAGTTTTTGGGGTTTGGGGAAGAAACCACAGAGTCAGGTACAGTGTTCCAGACATTGACCACTCCGTTGCTGAAGTTGTATTTCCTGCAACCAAGTTTGGTGCGATTAACCTTGAGTTTGTATCTATTGTGTGGTCTTGTATTGTTATGATTAAAGCTGAACTATTCATTTGCAGGTAGGACATTGCAAGGTATGATTTTATATACTATATTTAAATTGAACCGAAGGTGGCGTAATTCTAGGGTTTTCTCGGTCTAGAGTTTCAAGTCTAGTGGCATAAGGTATTCTGCAATGAGTAGAGGAGCGGTCACTATTGGTTACTGCTTTTCTGCACTCTGCATAATATTCCTTTTCCAAGCCAGATGTTGGGTCTCTGCAAGTATGGATTTAAAAAAAAGACCACAGGAAAAATTCTCTAGAAAGGAAGTTCTGCAAAGCTGGGCAGCCAAGGAAAAGAACTCAGGGCTGGTAGAGAAGTGGGGAACAGCTGCTCCAGGGCAGGGAGTATCCAGGCCACATCTGTAATTGAAGGTATTGTTTCCTTTGCAACACACACCTCACATTTAGGCTGGTTGAAACAACAGGCACAACTAGATCAGATTGATAGATAGATCCATCAGCAGCCTTTGCACAAACCCTGGTTTAGCTGCTTTGCAGCTTAGCGTATTATGTGAACCCAGATGGTTTGGTTCAACAATATGTTGAAAGTAGGTTAATGAAGGAAACAAGCTGAGCGTGTTTTGTGAATTCAGCCAAAGTCTCGTCACATAATGGTTAACCAGGTAGAGCTGATTAGCTGCGTTCTCAGTCATCTCTAAGGCCGTTTTCTTCTTCTCTACTCCATTTCTAATTTTAGAGTCTAGCCAGAGTGTGCTTGTGTTGTGACAATCAGTGAGACAGGCACAAACAGTCAGAAATAGGCAGTCCCACAAATATTGTGGCCCCGTGGCCTGTAGGGCTTTATAGGTGACAACCAGCATCTTGCATTGGACTCCAGAGCCTTTGGGGAGTAAACAGAGTTTGTGAAACAGTGATGTTGCATGGATATACTATGGAGAGGAGGGGTGACTGTTGTCACCTGGGCGTTTCAGAGGCTCTTCGGCCCTACAGATTACCAGATGTCAGGTGTTCTGGTTGAATTTGGGCTCTGGGGCTTATCTCCAGTTTTGTCACAGTATATTTATGAACTGGAATAGAGCTTAGTAAAACAAAAAAAGTCAGCCAATGAGTAAGCATGGCAACAGACCAGCCAATGGGAGCTGACAGTCTGGGTGTGGTTTGGCTCTGTGCCCTTTGCTGAGAAGTGAAACTGAAACTACAGTTCTGCTCTAAACTGGAGCTGTAACATGTCTGCTTCTGTTTGTGTCTTGCTTGCCTGCTGTACTAAACTGAAACTGAAACTGAGTTCTGGTCTGAGCTGCTGCTGCTGCTTGTGATTTTGCTTATGTTAGGTTGAAAGTATCTACTACTGGTATTGTAAACTTTACTTCATTTTATTATGTTTATAAAGAAGTTAAGGATCCTGCTGAATCAGCCACCTGTGTGTTTTCTGGACTTGAATTTCTGCTGCAAACTCTTAACAGGTTTCTACCCCAAACCAAATCTATTGTCTACAATCAGGCTGTGTGCTTGCAAAGGCATTTCTTCTGGTATACCTGACAGAGACGCTGAACTGATGGAATTAAACCTGATATTTGGGGAGATTGAACTACCTGCCTAATGAGATCACTAGGCAAATCAATAGGACAGATCAATTCTGAGGAAGAATGTCTTAAAAAACAGACCACACCACATAACAACAGAGCACTACTGATTTCCCCCTATGGCTCACAGCTGAAGCCACTCAAAACAGTATTAAGAATACACAACTACGACCCTGCATTTTTCTCAGGCCCTGTGCGGCAGGCCAGGATGTTCATTCAGACAGCCATCCAACCTGAGGTGGGTTCTCACAAGCCATTGGCATCATGGCCCAGCTGATGCCAATGGCTTATGAGAAGCCACTTCAAGTTGGGTGGCCTTGATGCCAACTTTGGAACTGGCTCCTGCAACTAACTCAGATGCCCATTTTGCCTCTGCACTAACAGCAGCATCGGAGGAGCCAACAGTTGCACCTGCAAGATTAGCACTGTTTTTCACATGTTTTTTTCTCTCCAGGTCATCCTGGCATGCAATATGCCTTTGGACTCTACATACAGGACAGAGGTTACCTAAGAGAATCGACACAATCAGTCAATTGACATCATGACATCATGAAAAAACAATGGCTACCAACCTGCCTAATTGAGGACTTGTATACTACACGAGTCAAAAAGAGGGCTGAGAAAATATTTACAGACCCCTCACATCCTGGACATAAACTTTCAATTCCTTCCATCAAAATGATGCTGTAGAGCCCTGCACACCAGAACAACTAGACACAAGGACAGGTTTTTCCCCGAACGCCATCACTCTGCTAAACAAATAATTCCCTCAACATTGTCCAACTATTTACAAAGTCTGCACTACTGTTACTATTAATCTTCTCATCATTACTTATCACCCATCCCCTCCCACTTGTGACTGTATAACTGTAACTGTGTCGCTTGTATCTTTACAATTTATATGGGCTGTTTCTTAGTATGATTTGATTGCTTATTGTACCCTATGACTATCATTAAGTGTTGCACCTGATGATTCTTGACTCTTGACGAACGTCTCTTTTCTTTTATGTACACTGAGAGCATTTGCACTAAGACAAATTCCTTGTGTGTCCAGTCACCCTTGGCCAATAAAGAATTCTATTCTATTCTATTCTATGACTCAAAAAAAGGACAAAACATCGTTAGAACATGTTAACCGCCCAACTTCTTTATAGCAGACGTCAAAGAGAGCACTTTGAGACAATGAGACTCAAAGCATTTTTGAAGGGCAGTTGTTTAATTTACACACAGGTTTAGAATAGAATGGATGAGCTTGGAGAGAGCTTGGAGGTCTTCTAGTCCAGCCCCCCTGCTCAGCAGGAGAACCTATACCATCTCAGACAACTGACTGTCCAGTCTTTTCTTAAAAACTTACAGTGATGGAGCACCCACAATTTCTGGAGTCAAGCTGTTCCACTGGTTAATTGTCCTCACTGGTATGAAGTTTCTCCTTAATTCCAGTTTGCTTCTCTTCTTGATCAGTTTCCATCCATTGCTTCTTGCCTTCTGGTGCTTTGGAGAAGAGATGGACCCCTCTTCTTGGTGGCAGCCCCTCAAATACTGAAATACTGCCATCATGTCACCCCTAATTCTTCTTTTCTTTAGACTAGCCAGATCCAAATCCTGTAGCCATTTTTCATATGTTTTTCAGGTAGTCCTTGATTTATGGCTGGTTGCTTAGCAGCCATTCAAAGTTAAAATGAAACCCCAAGTTAGTAAGTTAGTATGGACCTGCAAAGGGTACTTTGCAGTGGTGGGATTCAAATTTTTTTACTACCGGTTCTGTGGTTTGGTGGGCGTGGCAGGGGAAGGATATATATACTCCCTCCCATTTCCTCCCCACCCCACTAACCTGCTTTCCAGCTCTGGTCTCCTATGCAGGACAACCAAAGGAGACCCAGCCGATCAGCTGGGACTCAATGGGAGGCAGAGAAGAGATGGGGTTGGCGGGCCCAGTCAGAGGGGATATGTCAGCCTTCAAGATCTTCTTCCTTTGCTTTGCTTCTTTCTGGCTGTCATGAGTAACGGGGGGGCGGAAGGGGGAAAAGTATGGGAAGTGAGCTGGAGGTGTTACTAACTAATATTGTATAAACTGAGGAGGGTTTCTATTTCTTGCTTAGCTTTCTCTTCTCTGCGCAACTGCAACCTTTATCTGAGTAAGCCAAGGTCAACTAATCATCACCACCTGAAGATGCCCACATGATGAGGTTCACAACTTTTAATTAGAAGGACCCTTTGAACTATTGGGGGTGGGAACATTTCAATCCCTTGATATATGTGATGTACGTGCCTATTTCCTCAGATGCAGACTTCTCTTGTTGCTACCATTTGACTTCCAGTAAAAGATATCTTTTCTCTAATTAGAAGAGTCTTAAGTATTTCTTTCTTGGATTTTGAATGGAGCACCAGCTGACATTATTCTGAATCTCACCCTACCAGCCCACCCGGAGAGATAATACAATTTCTTCCGAGGGGGTCTGAACATCATGTCAACTCCAGCCAGCGACCAAGAGGACCTGGGTGCCATTGGAGGGCAAGACTCGCTGCTGCTAGAGGAAGCAAGGGATGCTGACTTGTTAACAGAGCTCAACCTTGGGGAAAAACCAGCCGTAAAACCCAAATGGTCATTGGGAGTAGGTTGGAAGGATCCTGAGGACCCCCCTCCCCCCAGGAGTCACCACTACCCGTCGGCGTGGAAGAGAGGAGCCATGGTTCTCCAAATTACTCAACATTTCCACTACCGGTTCTCCAGAACTAGTCAGAACCTGCTGAATACCACCTCCGGTACTTTGTGACCCAGCTCCAGTTCCATCAGCTGAGGGCCACCTCACAGTCACTTGATAGCATTTTGGGCTCTTGGCAGTCGGCCACATTTCTGGCTACCTGCACAGCCGCACTCCCATGACTACAGTTTATGATGTTTTTGCTGGAACCTGGCATTTACTTGCGGTTTCCAGCAATAACCGACCCATAACCACAATGGTTTCGCTAAACGACTGCTATATTCACTTAACAACCATTGCAAAAGATGGTAGTAAAATCGGGCCAGTCATGTGGTGACCTGCTTTATGACTGCCAAGATATCTGACTGTAATTGTCAGGCTGAATTATATTGGAACTGTTTTTAACACATTACGATTGTTAAGAGATATTTTAATTAAGTTAATTAATTACATATTTGAACGTTTAGTTGATACTGGCTTTCTATCCCACCTGCATCTCTATGATTAGTTTCACTTGCCTCCTTTCCTCCCGACCCCGATTTAAATCCCGAACCAGCCTAACCACTCTGTGCATTTGATGGGGTAAATTGTAGTAACATTTATTAGTCAGAAAAGGGCCTTCTGACTTTTTGCCACCATAGACTAGCACAGTTTTCCTCCTACAATCCCTCCGTCACATCATCTCTCATCTTTATTTGTTCCTTGGCTCATTTTCTAAAAGAAACTGAGCTAATTCGTTTATAAGCAGTGCATTAGGCCACACTGAGTCATGTCTTCTTAGTTTAGACTAGTTCATGTTCTTCCCTTTTTGCTCAGCCTCTCCATTAGAGGTGTGGAACCCTCACCCCAACCCTTTACACAGTGGTGGGATTCAAATTTTGGCAGGGGAAGGTCATTGCAAAATCCCCATTCCCTCCCCACCCCACTAACCTGCTTTCCAGCTCCATTCTCTTGTGCAGGACAACCAAAGAAGACCCAGCCAATCAGCTGGGACTCAATGGGAGGCAGAGAATAGATGGGGTTGGCGCAGCCAGACAGAGGTGGGATTTGCTGGTTCTCCGAACTACTCAAAATGTCTGCTACCGGTTCTCCAGAACCGGTCAGAACCAGCTGAATGCCACTTCTGCCTGAAACGACTAGCACGTATGTGCGAGGGGAACCTTTACCTTTTAGATGTCGGCACTCAGCAGAGGTAGCCTGCAGTACTGCATTCTAACCACTGAGCCACCATGGTACTTGGAATACTGAATCCATTCTTGGTCACCAAAATAGAAAAAAGATATTCATTCATTCATTCATGTTGAGATCTGGAAAGAGTAAAAAGAAAGCAAGGATTAGGGGATTGGAGGCTACAATATACGGAGAATGATTACAGGAATTGGGTATGGCTAGTCTAATGAAAAGAAGGAGTAGAGGAGATATGATAGCAGTCTTCCAATATTTGAGGAGCTGCCACAAAGACAAAGGGTCAAACTTTTCTCCAAAGTGCCAAAAGGCAAGGTGAGAAACAATGGATGGAAATTAATCAAGGAGAGAAGCAACCAAGAACTAAGGAGAAATTTCTTAATGCAATCAACCAGTGGAACAGCTTGCCGGCAGAAGTTGTGGATCTCCATCACTGGAGGCTTTCAAAAAGAGGCTGGACAACCATTTATCTGAAATGGTATAGAGTGTTAGGAATCTGTCCACCAATTAGTTGGGTTGGCAATATATAAACCAACAATGTATGTTTGTAGCTTTAAGACAAAGTTACTGTATTGATTTGTACTATGTTCCGATTGGTTGATTGTATTGTGAATTGCCACAAGAGGGAGCTATAGATCATGGCTTGCTCTCTCTGACATTCTGTCTTTCTGACATGCTCTTTCTCTGACATTCTGTTGTATTTATGCTGTGCTTATACTTTGATATCTTAGTTTACTGTAAATGACAAAGGCAACCAGTAAGAAGACTTTGTAATTGGATATTCTTTAGACTGTTCAACGTGTATATGACCTGGACTGTTTATTGGACTGTGCTATTTCTTAAAGGAAACTTTAACTCAATTTAGTGTATCTGTGTGTGGCTGACTAATTATTCATAACTACTCTCATAAACGTTTCCATGTGCATATCCTTGTTACTCAAGTGTTATTCTGTACATATCATAACATAAGAGTCTCCTGCTAGAGCAGGAGGTCAGATTAGAAGACCTCCAGGGTCCCTTCCATCTCTATTATTCTACGTTCTATCGGCAAATTCTCTGTGCGGGTCAGAGCATCAGTCATGTTAAGATCCAGGCCCTTTTGAACATGCCATTATCTGTAGGTATCCCTTTATGGGGAATGTGGTAGAAAGCCTTCCTTTGCAGTTTTCCAGGAAAGAGATAGTCGTGGTGTGTGTATTTGGGTTGCTGCAACCACACAATTAAAGCAACCTGCATAAAAAGGATCAAGGCTTCAATCACACAGTCACAGCTACCATATTATTTTTCTTTTTCTTTTTTCAAATGCACATACATGCCCCAAAAGTTCTGCTTTGCTTCTGTGCTCTCTGGATTTGAACACATTTATTTAGACAGGCCTTTGGGTGTATTAAAATTGATCGCGCCAATTGTTTTTATTGGATTTTAAGAGTTTTAATTTAATTTTTGACTCTTACTTCTACTGAGTACTGAGTGGATATGAATAATCAATAAAATGAAAATCATAAACACTTGGAAAATTATATACCCTTCAAAACAAATGGCTGTCCAGTCTCTTCTTTTGTTTTATTTTTCTTTTTTGCTTGTCAGTTTTTTATTTTATTTAAAATACATACATACAATGCATCTTTCATTTAAGAGTGTGTCATCTGGATATAAATATCTTGTGCAATAACAGTTAAATTTTTCAACCATATTCATTTTAATATTAATTCGCTATTATCTTAATGATATACATAATATTTTTATTACTATAACACTCCTTAACATGTTCAATTCTATTAACGTGTTTTCTATATTTCACTACCTTATTGATTATTTCTAGCTATCATATTTTTTCTCTAGCCATTGATAAAATAATTCCTATATCTGGTAATATTCAATGTGCTCCTTCTCTTTAATTGCAAGTGTTAATCTGTTCATTTCTGGACTTTCTAATATTTTCCTTATTGCATTCTCTTCTGTCGGAATCTTTTCATTTTTCCAATTTTGTGCAAATACAATTCTAGCTGCAGTTACTACATGGATAATTAAATATGTATTTTCTTTACTGTAATTTTCTGGTATAATCCCCAACAAAAATATTTCAGGTTTTAAATCTATGTGCCGCTGTATCATCTTTTCCAACCACGTATGTATTTTTGTCCAATATCTTTTTGCTTCTACGCATAGCAACCACATAGGATAATATGATCTTGGTGTCTGGTGGCATTTCCAGCATTTAGCTGATTTATCTTTAAACATCCTTGCCAGTCTTGCCAGCGCAAAATGCCATCTATAAAACATACAGATTTTCTTTATATGCAGTTGACATTGTTAATTTATAGTTTCTCTCCCACAGCTTTTGCCATTTATCTAACTCTATAGTATAAGCAAATTTTTTTGCCCATGCTATCATTGTCTGTTTCACTTGTTCTTCCATTTTAATACCCAGTAAGTAACTATAAATTTTTTTATCCATTTTTCTTCTGTTCCAGTTAATATTTTATCCAGTTCTGTCAATTCTTTATAGAAATCATCTTGTTCAGCAACTTTTTCATGTCTAGGCTATATTTGTACATACGAATACCAAACCATATCAATCCCTTGTTCATTTAATTCTTGTGTCAGGTTTCCAAGTAATGAAATCCATGTTAAAAGAAAAATAACAAAGTCCATCTTCAAAAAGATTTATTTTATTTAGGAAAGCATCAAATTGGCAAAGTCCATGGTAATTCCGGATCTGACCCAACCCACAATTACCCCACAATATTAGAAGTTTGAAACAACCCCCAAAAGTCACATTCTCCAATAGAAGTAATTCAACGTTGCTTGATGCCATAAATCTCCAGCCTGAACAGGTCCTTTCCCACGGGAAGGAAGATCACCTAGCCATAACACTCTCTCTATCTCCACTCCTCCCCCACTTAGGAATTTGTCAAGCCCACAACCCTTCCCCCCCATGAGTGCCACAGAGAAAGTAAGGAAAAGAATATGTACTAAGACAAACTAAAATGGCTGCACTTCTGACAATTTCGGGCTTGACATCTTGTTTAGTTTTTGAGTTCACCCTTTTCATTCAATATATCTTTATATCTAACAATATTTCCCATATTAATAACAACCAGACGAATAAGTGCTTCCATTGTCGAGAGCCAAACTGGTACCTTCAAATAGCACTGCTTTCTAATTTTTGCCTACGTTAATAATAAAGCACTTCTTATGTAAGTGTTTGCTTCATGCCCCTGTTGGAAGTTACGATTCCCCTCTCTCCTAGGAGAACATTAGAAGGGGAAGGAAAACTCCCCTAAAAGAAAGGAGAGGTGAAAACACAAGCAGGGACAGCTCCATTAGCCCCCAGCTTTGCACGGGACACACATCAGCTAGGATCCTTTCCCATAGAAATCAGATAGATAGCAAGCTACAAAAAAACTTGTGAAAAGCAAACAGCATAACAGGAAACTCAGGATATTGCAACCAGGTGCAAAATGATAGCTACAAAGGATCAGGGGAAAACAGATTGGGCTATAAAACAATTACTCCTACCAAGATCCCAGGAAGAGATCCCAATCTTACAGAGACAGGAATTCAACACACACAAATCAAAGACTTCACTTACAAATCAAAGAACCTGAAGTGTATAAGAGAGAGGTTTTTCTACTCACATATTAGATTAATCCTAGGAACGCTGTGAAATTTCTTCTTATCTGCCTTCCTATTAATAAACTGATTCAATGCAGCTGATTTCAATGCAGCTGGCCAAATCATTTTGCATTAAAACCTCCCAGCCGGGAAATTTGAATCCACAAAAGGAAAAAAAATGGCCTTTTTCCTTAAAGGGCAAGGCTTCTTTTTCCCTTTCCTTCCCGCCTTTGCACTCTGATCAGTCTCCAGGTTGATTTTCAAACGTGGACCTAGTGCTCCTTCAGATGAGCATTAAGCCTGAGTTAGGGATTGCCCGATTGCGAGGAAGCAAGCAAAGGCTGCCAATGAGCCTCTCCAATCCCCAGCCATACTTCCTCCCACAAACCCCCTCAATGCCCGTCACCTATAAGGTGGGCAACTTGCCAGGGGCTAAATCTGCCATTCTAAGCAGTCTTCAAGCTTGGGGTCTCCAACCTTGGCCACTTTAAGACGTGTGGAAGTTGAAGTCCACAAGTCTTAAAAGTGGCCAGGGTTGGAGACCCCTGTATAATTTAGTTTAACCTTGACTGGCTCCGCCTCGGGGAGATGGATTTGTGGTTGTTTTTCTGTCAGTGGGTGGGAGAGGAAAAAAAGACAGGGTTTTCCCATCAACCTTTTCTGTAATTTGGCCTGCGATAACTATAATTAAGGAAAGGCAGCATCCTTCAGCGGCTTCACAACTGCGGCAGAAGCCTACGAGGGGCAGAATGCTTTTATGCTGACATACTTTTCCTCTATTCAAGGGCTGCTGGACAGTAATTCAGCCGGCCCTATGGAAGAGGCCTCCCTGGGTAACCAGAGAAATAATTCAACATCTGCCAGATAAATGGAGACAGAAGACGGGCATCCCGGCCTGATCAGCTCTCTCCAGTATGGCTGCTTTAGCTGCTCTGTACCGAGGGACTCTTATTAGCAGAGGAAATTAAATTAAAGCTCTTGGCTAGCAAATTATCTCGGAGAAACATAACGTTAGCTGCCAGAATCTTGTTGTGTCAATTTTTCCATTAGTGCTGGAAACTCTGTTATCAACTTTATGCATCAGAAATACAATTTCTCTGCTGCTGGACCAAGATGACCTCTTAGGAATCAATAAATGAGAGTGGCAAGAAGCACCTTTTCTGGGCCATTTTTAAAATGAAAACTCCTCAAAGCTGCTTTACAGAATTAATCGGGAAGGAAAAGTTCCTGGAACGGGACCTCAGACGCACCTTCTCCCAGGCCCTTTGTTCCTGTTCGCTCCTGGTTTCCTGTCCCACCTTCTCTCACTTAGAAATAGAAAAAGAATCGTTTATTGGCCAAGTGTGGTTGGACACACAAGGAATTTGTCTTGGTGCAAATGCTCTCAGTGTACATAAAAGAAAAGATACATTCATCAAGAGTCAAGAATCATCAGGTACAACACTTAATGACAGTCATAGGGTACAATAAGCAATATAATAAGCTTAAGTCCTCTTGAGAAAAGCCCTGCGGGTAGAAGCTCTCAGCTAACCCAAGATCTCTCCCAAGGAGACGCCCACAGAAGAACCCCTCTCATTTTGGGGTACAGGACTGCAAATTCTCATTCTGTTCTGAACCTCATTGGCCTTGGAAGCAGCAGATGGAGGTCAAGTTATCTCCTTGAGTCGGCAGCTCAATTTCGTTCTGGCAAAGCAAAAAAGTTGTTTTGGAACTTTGCACATCAAAAATGACCCTAGGTTTGCTAACTATTCATCGTGTAATGTTCAGAGGTACAATAGGTGGACGCAGTTGGCTGCAGAAGCCCCGCTGTATCTCCATTGTCCTGCATCAAGGAAAACCAAAGGAAGCACGGTGCATTCCTGGGGTAAGCAAAGCAAAATTGGAGGAAACTAACAGAATAATAGAATAACAGAGTTGGAAGGGGTCTTGGAGGCCTTCTGTTCCAACCGCCATGCTCAGGCAGGAGACCCTAAACAATTTCAGATAAGTGGCTGTCCAGTCTCTTCTTAAAAGCCTCCAGTGTTGGAGCATCCACAAGATCTGGAGGCAAGTCGTTTCACTGGTTAATTGTTCCCACTGTTCGGAAGTTTCTCCTCAGTTCTAGGTTGGATCTCTCCTTGACGATCTTCCATCTGTTACTTCTTGTCCTGCCTTCAGGTGCTTTGGAGTGTTGGAAGAAACATCCTTCTGGGTTCAGTTCCAAATGGGGGAAAAAGACACTGGAAACACGGAGATTGTTTGGAAAGATGGTTTAGAGGTGGACAGGACCACGTGGCTCGGAGCTCCAAAGGGAAAAGGACGCTCACATGCTTCAAGATGTTGGGTGAAGGAAAAGAAGGGCCAAAATACTGAGAGACCCTTGGTTTGATGCCCTCTGTTGGGATTTGAATTTGAGCTTTGTGTTCTGATTGGTTGTCAGACTCCCATGGGGCCATGCAGGGGCAACTCTGTAGGCTGTCCTGAGTCCCAGGCTTGGTTGATCATTTCTGGGTGGTGATGTTATGAAAGCGCTTTGGGTAATTCCTTTTATAGCTTTACCTGGAGTAGATCTTTGTTATGTAAAATAGACTGGCCTAGGACAGAGTAATGGTCCATTAGCAAAGGTGGGGGGTGGGTGGGCTGAGTTTCTGCCTCTGAGTTTCTACTTCTCTTTTTAGGGGAAATATTCTGCCTTTTTAGTATATCCCAAAATATTTCATTTTCCTAGGAGAAGGGGTGGGTTTTAACTTCCAACAGGAGAATAGGTCGACCCTCTCCCTCTTTGTGGCAGCTCCTCAAATATTGGAAGACTGTTATCATGTCACCCCTATTCCTTCTTTTCATTAATAGCAATACCAGTGGTACTTAGACTTACAATATAGACCGCTTCACAGTGTTTTACAGACCTCTCTAAGCGGTACACAGAGTCAGCCTCTTGCCCCCAACAATCTGAGTCCTCATTTTACCCACCTCGGAAGGAGGGAAGGCTGAGTCAACCTTGAGCGTGGTGAGAATTGAACTGCCAAACTTCTGGGAGCCGGCAATCAGCAGAAGTAGCCTGCAGTACTGCATTCTAACCACTTAAACTAGTCATATGCAATTCCTGCGATCGTACTTCATATCTTTTAGGCTCCGGTCCCCTAATCATCTTGGTTGCTCTTCTCTGCACTCTTTCCAGAGTCTCCACATCTTTTTTTGTATTGTGGTGACCAAAACTGGATGCACTATTTCAGGTGTGGTGTTACTAAGGCTTCATAAAGGGATACTAATAGTTCTTGTGATCTTGTTTCTATCCCTCTGTTAAACCTAGGATTGCATTGGCTTTTTTGGCTGCTGCTTCACACTGTTGGCTCATATTTAAAATCGTTGTCCTCTAGGATTCCAAGATCCCTCTCACAGTTGCTACTGTTGAGCCAAGTGCCACCTGTTCTATTTATCACACCATATGAGTACCTGCTCAAGGGCCCCAAGAGTTTTCAGGAGAACCAACTCGCGTCTGGCAAGGGCACAGGGACTCCACGGTCCCACAGGATTTGCTGATAGGATCAAACACCCAGTGGTGTTAATTGCAGGACAATCTCTTGGTCCTCTCCAGATGTGTAGATTCAACACCCAGACACCACATTGTCTTTCTTGAGTGGGGAATCTGAGGAGAAATCCATACGTAAATGAAGATCAGAGACCAGGGAAGGTTACAGAAAGGATGGCCTCCCAAAAAGATGGAGCCCAGAAGTCCCCTTAGGGCTTTTCCGGTAACAGTTGGAAGAAGGGTGATGGGCTTGCATGCACCCAAGAAGGCTCTGATAAGGAAACAGCATCAGAGAGAGAGGCAGAGCTGGAGCCTTCCGTCCTCCCCCAGGTGGAGGGGCAGCAGCTATCTTCAGGAACTAAGCTGAGTGAGGGGGAGGAACAGATGGGCCCCGTCCCAGATGCACTTATGCGTAGAGAGGAGAGGAGAGCAAAAGAAAGCTATAAGTCGGCTCTCGGGGAGAGGCAGACACAAACGATAGCCAGTCCCTCCCTGGCTGGGAAATAAATAGGAGGGGTTTGGGAGTTGCCAGTTGTCGCAGACAACCGTTCATTTTCATACAGCAAGCAGTTCTGATTCCTTGGCCAGAACCAGGTTTGTTGGGACTAAATTACATTTGGTTTTTGTTTATCTACATGAATAAATAAAAGACTCTTACTGCCCTGTTTTGAAAAGGGGGTTGTTTTGACTTACGAGTAAGAGGCTTATCATTGCTTGCTAAGGCTGGATAAGAACAGGAAGGTAGCAGAGAGGAATATAGGAAAAGAAAACGGCCATCTGTCCGGCCAAAGGGACAAGGGGATCCTAGCTCTGATTGAAACCCCTTCCTGGGGTGGAATGTTTACCTATACTTGGCTAGATGTGGGGATCTCGGGAATAGAGGCACTTGCTGAATTTAGTTGGCGCTAATGGGTGTGAGAGGGAACCACCAGAAGGATCCAAAAATCAAGGTGGCAGTTGCACCCTGTGATCGAGGCCCCACAACGTTGAAGAATCTTGACTTTTTGGACCCTCCCTGTGGTTGCCTTTATTCTGTTATATATCTATATATATAAGTGAAATACCATCATCACAAAATCTCCAGACCGTAAAGCCTATAAACTTGACTTTTGGCACGTAGGTTCCTCTTGGCTTCTAGGTGCTCACTAAGAAAGGATTTTTTGAAATGACCATCAGAGCATTAGAATTTCCTATATTATTATTATTAACACGCTCTGATGCTAAGGAGTTCTATTCTCCCTCCCCACCTGAAAAGAAATATCTTCCAAATGCAAAACACAAGCAGAGGAGAGGAGTTTTGGTTTCAGTTTTATTTTCACAGCAGCAACCAATTTTAGTTCTGAACAGTTGAGCTAAGCTATGCCAAGGCTCCTTGCTGTCTCCTACTTGCTCACAGCAAATACTGTTTCAGTTTCCAAACAGCCCTCAACTCTCTTACACACTAACAGAATGCCTGATGATGCTGGTAGGAAGAGGCAGAATTTTCTCCCCTTATTTTCCTCCCCAAAGTATATATGTATGTATGTGTGTGTGTGTATGTGTGTGTGCATATATACATATACATATACACATACACATACACATACGTACATACATATATATGTACTGCCCACATTTGCTTGTTAACAGGACATAAAGAATAGGGTACAATATGTGTGGTACCTTGCTTAATAGTAGTAACTGTGAGAGGGATTTTGGAGTTGTAGTGGACAGTCATTTAAATATGAGTCAGCCGTGTGCAGCCGCCGCCAAAAAAGCCACCACAGTTCTAGGCTGCATTAACAGAGGGATAGAATAAAGATCACGTGAAGTGTTAATAACACTTTATAATGCCTTGGTAAGGCCACACTTGGAATACTGCATCCAGTTTTGGTCACCACGATGTAGAAAACATGTTGATACTCTAGAACAGGCATTCCGGCCCGTTTTCAAATTTTGAGCGGCCCACAGCCTCTTCTCCCTGCCAGCTCAGCCTGTCACTAATCCCCGCCGGCCAGCATTTTCCCCTTCACCGCACAGCAGTTCCCATGAATGGCAGGCTGAATGGTCGGCACCCGAACATTTTCACCTCACCAAATTTAGCCCTCCTTGCAAAAAGATTGGGCACCCCTGCTCTGGAAAGAGTGCAGAGAAGAGCAACGAAGATGATTAGGGGACTGGAGGCGAAAACATATAAAGAACGGTGGCTGGAACTGAGTTTGTCTAGTCTGAGGAAAAGAGGAACTAGGGGAGACATGATAGCAGTCTTCTAATATCTCAGGGGCTGCCCCAAAGAAGAGGGAGTCAAGCTATTCTCCAAAGCACCAGAGGGCAGGACAAGAAACAACGGGTGGAAACTAATCAAGGAGAACTAAGAATAAATTTCCTGACAGTTAGAACAATCAACCAATGGATCAGCTTGCCTCCAAAAGATGTGAATATTCCAACCCTGGAAATTTTAAAGAAGAGATTGTCTGAAATGGTATAGGGTTTCCTGCCTAAGCAGGGGGTTGGACTAGAAGATCTCCAAGGTCCCTTCCAACTCTCTTATTCTGTTCTAAGGATATTTTTTAAGCTGAAAACAGAACAGTTTTGTTCATTCCTCCCCATAGATTATAGTATGAATTTGCAGAGACTGAGAACAAAGATGTTTGCCTGTTTCCGGGGTCTGGAAAGTTGTTAGTTTGTGAAGAGATGCCGCATCGCCATATCTTACAGACTACAGGGTCGGGTTTGTGACTTTGTCCAGTGACATTCTTTTTTGCAGCGTGAGTGTGTACCTATGCCTGTCACGTACGGTCCCTGGGCAAGGTGGATCTTCAGATCCTGTTTGGGCCCTGGAAGTTGTTTCCAGAACTGAATCTAAATGAGTAAAAGCACCATTCATTTGTCAGCAATTTTTAACAGCACACTGGTGACAAGCTCGATACTTTTAACCTGATGCAGATTAGTTTAAAAAAACCGTTTTAAATTGCAGAGCGAGTCATTCTGCAGACAGCGAGAGAGCAAATATTAGGGCTTGGCAGCAAGGCAAACAGGAGAGGGCCAAGGGGCCAGCTCGCCCTTTATGTGCCCTCAGATGAAGTGTGTGGTCTTCTATTATGACTTTACTCCTGCAGATCTTAAAATACAATTCATCGGCCATTGGGGTCAGTCAGGGGTGGGATTAAAAAATCCCAGCAACCGGTTCGCTGCTCAGTTGCTGTATGGGCGTGGCCATGGTGGGCGTGGCCTACTGGTACTTCCGGGAGGGCTGATTTTCATCTTCCCAAGGGTCCGGTGTCAGGATTCCGGCAGTTACTCCAATCAAATCATGAGCCTCGAGACACACTGCCAAAACTAAAAAGGATTTATTAGAAGTTGACATTCCGGCATTAGTCTAGGCGTAGCCAACTCTGTGACACGTAATTCACTGTCACCCTTGATCCTGCTTCCCCCACCCCCCTCTGGGTGTATCATCCAAAGGGACACATCCATAGCAAAGAGGCATCAATCATGCTCTCCAATTAGACTTTTGCGTGGCAGAAGCTTCAGTCATCTAATCAGTCTCTGAAGAAACTATGAATGGAGTGTACTTTCAATTCCACACTGCTACCTGCTCTTTGGAACTCCCCCCCTTCTTTTTGTTGACAACTATAAAACGTGCATGCAAAAGGTTTTATGAGTTGACATCCGGAGGCTTCCCTTGGGCCTCTAGGAGGGCGAAAACAGACTCCCCTGGCCGCTGGAGGCCCACTGGAAGCCGGAAACAGGCCCATTTCTGGACTTCTGGAAGGCCCGTTTTTTCACGCTTTCAGAGCCTCTGTGCAGACCCTGCACTTACCTGCATCTAAAGTGGGCCATATGGAGACTCCAGGGAAGGGAGGGGTGGGGTAGGCAGGGCCAGCCGGTCCGTTGAAAATCCGGTTCGGCGAACCAGATGCAAATTTAACATCCAGTTCACCCGAACCGGTAGTCAGCTCCTGTACACAAATGAGGAAGCTGTGGGCTTATCTTTTCCTTAGCTCTAAATAGTGAAGAATTGCCGTCTGCTTATACTCCAGAAAAGCTGGTGACAGGGAGAACTGAAAGTCACTTTGAGGGATGCAGTAATTAATGATGGTTGTGCTAGAATATAATTGCCACCGTGTCTCCTGCTCTGCGTTGACTCTGCTTAAGACTCCTCTCACCCCACCGGAAGCGTTGACGTTTATGGGACTGGTGGGTGGTCTCACTTCGCCCCACACAGCTTCGATTCAGTCGGGGAACAGGGTCTCATCCTGAAGGGCTGCAGAATGTTTCCCAGGCTTTGTTCTAAGTGTTCCCAGGGGTGTTGATCTCAGAATAATGCGCTACTAATTGCTCTCAGCTCCCCCCACCCCCCACAGTAGGTGCTGGGCTGAAATTATCCGCTGAATCTGAACGTATTTAGAGATGCAGTTCACCTCAATCAACAACAAAGGTCCTGGAATGATTAATTTCCAGAGACATTACAAAAATAGATCTTTAAAAAGGGCTACCTCAGCTTTCTCTAATATAGCTGGATATTAGAGAGATTAGAGGTGGATCAGTCTGACTCCATTCGCCTTAACCGGCCTGGCCAAGGATGACGAGAGTTGCAGTCCAGTACATCTGGAGGGGCTGGATTGAGAGTCTGTCCTTTGTAAGATGCCCTGGAGACCGGTGGGCATTGCCTGCCTTCCTCAGTTGACCTTTCAGGTCTTCTGCCTGGACCTCCATCCTGCCGAGGTCCCCAGTCTGTTTGGTGTTGGGGCGAGAGGGGAGGCCTCCTGAGCTCTGACTTTTTTCTACAAAATCGTTTTTTTTCCTCCTTCTACCAGTGTTGGGATTCAATTTTTTTTTTTAACTACTGGTACTGTGGGCGTGGCTTGGTGGGCGTGGCCAGGGAGGGATACTGCAAAATCCCCGTTCCCTCCCCACCCCACTAACCTGTTCCTCTTGTTCTTCCCCTTTCGTTCCTCTCTTCCTTCTCCTTTCGTTGCTGTCTTCCTTCCAATGGTGGGATTCCAATTTCTTTACTACTGGTTCTGTGGGCGTGGCTCGGTGGGCGTGGTTCGGTGGGCGTGGCAGGGGAAGGATATACTGTAAATTCCCCCTTCCCTCCCCACCCCACCAACCTGCTTTCCAGCTCCGTTCTCCTCTGCAGGGCAACCAAAGGAGACCCAGCCGATCATCTGGGACTCAATGGGAGGCAGAGAAGAGATGGGGTTGGCGGGGCCAGTCAGAGGTGGGATTGGCCGGTTCTCCGAACTACTCAAAATTTTTGCTACCGGTTCTCCAGAACTGGCCAGAACTGGCTGAATTCCACCTCTGCCCTCCACCAAGCTTTGCCATCTTGCCCCCACCTCCTACCCCTCCTACCCCTGCCAATGGTGCACACTGGGCAACCTGAATCCTGCCACTCCTGACCGAACATCGGAGTGGAACAAATGAGGATAACCGGGTGACAACAGTGACAGTTTTATTTCAGTCCCTTGATCTAAGATCTCCTCTCTTGGTGAGATCACACTTCAGGCCTTTGGAAGCCTACACGAAGACACCCCCTCCTCCCCCCCTCCGCTCCTCGTTAGATTAAACGAACCTCATTTGCAACTTGTTCTTGTTTCTCTGTTTCTCTAGTTGATGCAATTTTTTTGGCGTGCTTCATAACTTCCTTGGGATTTTAGCTTCCTAGCCCATGTCACCTTCTGCGGCCTTGGCTACTGAGGGCCCCCCTTTTAACAGCAGTAGATCTGCTAGTACAGGGGTGTCCAACTGGATTTCATTAAGGGCTGCAACAGGGTTGTGTTCGACCTCTGAGGGCCAGGGGGTGGGCGTGGCCATGGTGGCCATGATACGGGATTTGTGTCAGGGGCACCTGTGGTGGCCAAGTGGTAAGGCAGGACTTCCCTGAGACCCTCCCTCCCTCTCATTATACTCTCCTCCCTTCCTTCCCTTTTTCCTTTCTTCTTCATTCTCCTTTCTTCTTCCTTCCCCTCTTCCCTTCTTTTTCCTTCCTTTTTCTCTTCTCATCTTCCCTTCTTTTTCTTTCTCTTCCCCTTTCTCCTTTCCTGTCCCTTCTTGCATGCTCCAATGCAGAAGGGGGAACATTTCTCCGTTTGTTTTGTCTTTCGCTCTGTTTTCACTGGCAGAGGCACTCCAGACTGGTCCTTAGCTGTTTCCAGGCCAGCCCTGAGGACCAGATCTAATCACCCCATGGACTGGATTCTTCCTCTGGGCCTTGAGTTTGACACCCCTGTGCTAATACAATCCTTACTATCCTTCCCCGAGTTGCAAAAACTGTTTACTCATAAACTTGATTTATGTTTTTGGTAATTAGTTATTAATTCATCTTGCAAATGATATTTACTCAACAAGCCTTATTGGAATCTGTTTTTAGCCAGGGAGGAAGCATCTATGCATGAAGATGTGCTTGTTTGCAGAACCGAGGCTGATTTATCCCGAACTGGGCTTGTCCTTCTCTGCCTAATTTGTCTGCATCGTCTTCTGTTACTTGCCCATTATTAATTTCCTCAAATCTGCTTTAAAGAAGTAGAGGCTGAACTGGCTGCTGTCAGAAACACCGTTAATTGCTTAAAAATAAGTTAGAACTTTTTAAAAGATGTCCACGATGATTGCCAACTGGTCCGAGAAGTGGCTTTCTTTTCCGATTGGCTTTATAATCTTATTATGGTTGCTTGTACAATCAGCCAGATGTTTAGATTGGGCTTGATATATTTATCCACCTATCAAGTTCTTTCTAAGCAGCTGGGATAGGCAAATGTGGTTAACACTTTGACGGTGTTAAAGGGATTGTTGCATGATGGAAGCTGTTCCAAGTAAGAGCTGCCTTTTGCAATTGACTGATGGTGAATTTGTCAATGCTGATAGTATTCAAGTGGTGCTCCAGTTATTCTGGGTTTGCACCCAAGGCACCTATTACAA